GACATGATGATCGTGCGACCGACGCAGCTCAAAGCAATGTTTCGAAACTGGGTATCTATCCAATCGTTCAATCATAGTCTCTTGCGCAAGTTTCTCGATGATGGGGCTGATCGAGCGAGCCTTTGAAGCCGGAGGGCTAACAGGACTCTGGGACTGTAGAAAGGCTGCGGCTGCGAAGCAGAAACTATGTGCAATGCAATGGAAACTATAACGATGAAGCTAAAAGACTATGAACAAGGTATGAGAAAGTAGATAACTAGATGACTAGGGAAACTCTAGAAAAGAGGAAAACTCGAGGGTTTATATACCCGAGATGAGAAGTGAAACACAACGTAAGGTTAAGCGGAGAGCTGAATACAAGTATAGACCAAAGCGGTCGGAGCTAGGTGGTAACAACGGGCTCGGCGTGTCAGCCCAGTCCAAGAGGGGAGGAGGCGTAAGGGTCCAAGGCGTGTCGTAAGTCGTCTTGGGCCTAAGTAGGCGGTGTTGTCGTGGCATCGGCTACACCTTGAAGTAGCTCGATGCATTTCTCCCGAAGACCGACAGACGTTTCCGAATCCGACCCCTCAAATCGTTTTCTATCAATCCGGCCAGGAATATGGCTTGACTCTACAAGCAACTTCATACACCAGCTTCTTAGTCAACCAAATCCGAGATGCTTATGCTTTCCTTGTGCAACATTACATCCCTGGTGATGAGCTCTTGTAAGCAACACTTGATCATCAGACACATTCTCAAAGAATGTTTGAATGGCAGATCAACATCAACAAGCCTTTTTATTTTTGAGAATTAGGCTGTTTGGGTTTTCTCGAGGAGCTTTCATCGCAAGGACGATTGCAGAGATGGTAGCCGAGATCGGAATCCTCAACATGGCGGGGATGGAAGACTTCTACCAAGTCTTGGCAGCCTGTCAGTTGTTGCATGCGAAAGGAGACAGCGATAGGGTCGAGCGGGGGAGGGCTTCTGCACAAGCATTCCTGGACGAATATTATCAGGGTGGACAAAAGCAATTAAGAAGGATCTCCGAAGGGTCCCTGAAATGTGTGGGCGTTTGGGATATGGTCGGCGCATGCGGTCTGCGTGAGTTTTCGTGAAAGCCTTCTGATGCCCCATGCCTCCTTCACTTGATGCTCGAAACGCAGAAATTAATACCTTGTAGCATCCCAATCTGTTCGGTTATCTCAGCTGAACCGTTTGCTCAGAAGTACCCTCTACTTGGATTTGGAGATAGGAAATTGAGTGTCCACATCAAGTATGCTTTCCATGCCATAGGTCAGTCAGTCAGTCTCGTAATGAGGTAGTCGAAAGAGTATAGATCCTGAAGTTTTGGGCTTGATTGACTCCACTTGAGCTATGAGTGAGACACGAATGGATTTGCAGCCTACGAAGTGGGAGCTCGGATCGACCTCAAAGGAGTGCAACGAAGCTGTCAAGCTGAACAAAAACAAGTACTTAAACAGGTATGGTTCCCCTGCTCTCACATTGAGGCGGGCGGCCGGATAGAAGAATATGATGATGTTACTTATATCTCACTTCTTTGGATGGCGGTAAGATTTGTGTACCCCAGTTACTCTCCTATAAACCTCTCGTTGCTCAGTCGTTGTCTCTTACCCACCCAGGCCAATTTGATTCACCACAACTTGCTCGCAATCAACGAGGAATATCTCCATGGAATGTTGTCGGTCTTTTGGACGAGAGTCCAGAGAGGATTTGGGCTGTATGAGTGAGTCCTTTTTTTTGTCGAGGCTAAAAACCCACCGGTCACTTATACAATGACGATAACTGCCTTTGCTTGTGCAGCCCTGAAGGACCGAGGAGATACTGTCTGTCAAGTACGACGAGACAGATCCCGAAGTCCTTGAACGCTCTGACGAAAGAGACGATCCACCGTTCTGCCTTTTCTTCTCCAGAGCGAATGATTCCTTGCTTGGAGCAGGTCCAGACGGATTACAAGGCAGAGCCGGAGTTGCTCGAGGAGCTGCTTCCATTTGAGATCGAGATCCGGAACCATTTGGACTTCCTGACCAAGCAATGGGCGGTTCATGAGGGCCATCGGGTCCGGCCTGACGAGTTCAACGACTGGCCGGATCAGCAATCTTGGTACCAAGAGCGCTGGTATCTGAACTTCAAAGACACTCAGCTCGGATCTAAACCTCAAACCCACGGTCTATTCCTAGATCTCATGGACCAACCTTTTTGGCCATTGGACACAAAACGCTTGAAGGAAGAAATGATCTCCAGGGGCAGAGGGAGGGGACATGCTTCTGTTGAAGATGCTGCAATGCGTATGCTCGGAACACCCATGGATTGAGTTACGCACTCGTTTGTAGACTGCATTTATAAACTGCAGCTTATATGGGAAACAAATCCCCCATTGAGAAGCTCTGTGCGCAGTGAAGAAAATTCATTCGTAGTTTGCGGTTCAGTTTTGTATGGTGATAGTATCCCTTGAGGGTTGATCTATTATAAACACAAAATAAAATTTCTTTACACAAGTTCAATCAATCTTTTCTCTAACTTCACACACCGGATGATTCTTGGCTTCAGCCCGCAGGGTGGATCCAGCGGTTCACACTGAGGTCGGATCAATCAGTCTTTTTGTGTCTGTTGATGGTAAAGAGTGTAAAATAGTATGTTCGATCGTTTTTGCATGAAAAGAAATGAAGCGAGTTAGTAGTGGAAGATGAGAGGAAACAAGATCAAAGCGATGTCCTACATAGTGTTGTTAAAGCCAAGACAGAAAACCTGGATGTGGAAGTTCCAGAAAGGGATGTTAATACTGAATAAAGAGAAGAGTGGTGGGTGAGATGATTTTACATCCATTAATCCTTGCAATGGGCTTAAAATAATTCAGGCTGAAAAGCGTCTTGGGTCTTTGTCAAATGAGTGGTCCCGGTAGCTGCGGTGCATAATGCATAAGACCCACAATGCTGGATAGTATTCAATATGGAATCTCGAACTCAAAAACTCGGACACGTTTTTGCCCCAATGAATTGAACAGCCGATCGAGAACCATAATCATCCCGAAGAACTACTCCTCACCTCTCCTCACCAAATCCCTTAATCACCTATCGATCAACACCCAGATTGCTCAATTCTTGTACCGCCTAACCACTCTCCCAAAGACCAACGAAACTCAGGAGGAGCCCGAGCATAACACAAGTGGAGGTACACTCGGCTTAATTTCTTTCCTTATTTCTTTCTCACTGATTTCCCGATTATTGATCTTATTTTATTTCTTCAGGCTTGTTTGTTATCTTATTTCTCCTAATACTGTTTCTCGTGTCTAAGCTTGAGTCGTAGTCAGGACAAGAACATCTGAAGGTACTTAATGATTTCTTTTTCTTCTTCGTCTCAATCTTAGCCTTAATTGTTCTATTTCTTATCTCTTCTGTTTCTAATCATTTATTCTTTATTGTTTCAAGTTCTTTACTACTATTAGCTTTTGGATATTAGTTGCAATAAAGTATTTGATCTCAATTCCTTACATGGTAGCGAGAGTCAATACTTGACAATATCTATTATAAGTCTAAAGTTAGAAAAACTCGCAGTCTAGGTAATTCGATAACATGGGGAACTCATCGGATAGTTCGGACGATGGAAAGTCTTCTCGATTTTCGTTCAAGAAACTTGATCGTAACAACTGGGCCCAATGGAAAACTCGATTCAAAAACGTTATCACGGCCAAGGGTTACGAAAACATCATGATTGACGAATGGGTCAAAGGCAACAAGGATACTCCCGAATTCCGTCAAATGTCTGCTTGGTGTATGAATAAGCTTTTTGCGTCGGTCAAGGAGGAATTGCACCCTGTCATCAGCTCGAAGAATGGCGATATTTATGGCGCTATTCAAGCCTTAGGGGCAGCGTGTGGTGAAAACTCAATTATTAGTCTGTGCGACAAGTTATACGCAATGATTAACTGCACCTATATGCCGGGATCGTCTCTATCTCAGCATCTCACTGTTTTTCGAAAGCATCACACTGCTCTTCAGATGTCGATCCTGGCCAATCCGAATTTCATGACAATCACCACTGGACTAGCGGCTGCGATCCTGTTACGAAGTCTTCATCAAGACGAATCCTTGACACCCTTGGTTCAAAGTCTTTATGATAAAAAACCCTTCACCTTCGACAAAGTTTACGATCGTCTATTAATTGAGGATACTCGAAAGGAAATTGCCACTGCGGAGTCGGCCTACTATTCTAATCAAAATCGTCGAGCGGGGAAACAATCTACGGTTCGCACTCCATCAACCTCTAGCTCTCGAGGAGGCCATTCATCTCGGGGTAATCATCGTGGAGGAATAACCACTCGAGGGAACTTCAGAGGAGTTACTCCAACTCGCCCTGCTCCAAATAGAGGCAATGAGGATGATCAATTCGAAAGGATGTTTAAGACCCAAATGAAGAAGTTCTTGATGGATCAAACTAACCTCGCTGAAGAAGAAGAGGACGACGATGAAAATGCCTTGATTGTTGATGAAAATGGGGATTGTTATGACGATCCTGAGCTGGAAGGTTTCATGATACTAGATGAGGTTAACGCGAATGGGATTACGACGAATTCAATCAACAACACTTTGATATTGGATTCAGGCGCCTCAAAGACGACCGTTTGCGATATTAAACTACTCGTCAATCCAGAACCGGTTCGCAAGTCTATCAATACGTATTCTGGGTCTATCGAGATAACCCATGTAGGAAAATTTAATTTGGGTGGAACTCTCATTTACCCGGCATTCTATGCGCCCAATGGACCTCGCAACCTAGTCTCGGTCTCTCAACTTGAAGATCATGGCCTCCGGATGGTTGTAAAAAATCGACTGATTTTGGTTCGTCTAGGGCAGAAAGTAATCTATAGATTTCCTCGAGTGGGCAATCTCTATCAGGGACAAGTACCGAGATCTCCTTCACTAAACTATGTCCTGAATGTATCCGAGCCTGATCCTAATCTCGACTATCACATAATTTTGGGTCACCCGTCGGACGAATACTTAAAGAAATTTTTCGATATTTATGGAATCAATCCTAAGAATCGAGGGCAGTCAGCAAAAAATTGTGAAGTATGCAAACAATGCAAGCTCAAGCGATCTCCACATGCCAACCCTCTTCCCACCACGGATCGACCATTCAAAACATTACACATGGACGTCCTTCAGATCTCTCCCCCTAGCAAGTCGTCAATGAAGTACATCTTGGTTATCGTTGATGATTATTCTCGCTTCAATCGAATTTATTTGATGAGGAATAAGTCAGATTCCGAGTCAAAAATCCTGTCTTATGTCAATGAAATTACCAACAAGACGGGTAAGTGCCCAGCTATAATTCATACCGATCGTGGTGGAGAATTCAGCTCTAATTATTTCCTCTCTAAATTGGAAAAATTAGGAATACGAGTTGAGGCTGGTCCAGCCAACAATCCTCAAACTAATGGCCTGGCCAAACGGTTCAATCAGACCTTGCTGGTCAAGATTCGCTGTCTCTTGGCGCAATCATCGGTCCCAATCAATTTCTGGGATGAAGCCGCAAAATATGCTTCAATGTTGATAAACATTTTGCCTTCAAAAGCATTAAATTGGTCTGCTCCTGTCAAAATACTTTCGGAATTGAACATGTGTATCGAACCAAGCCGGGATGTCAATAAGCTCGTACCCTTTGGTCTTAAGGTGTTTGTTTTGCACAAACCCCCATCGAAAATCTCTGCTCCCTCTAGACCTCTTACAGTCGACTCCCTCTTAAACCATGACCTATTAACCCATAACCCCTCTTAAGCCATATATTTTTCTAGGAAATTTGTCCACCAAAATGGGAAAAATGCCTAAAAACTTGACTTATTAACCCATACTCTCCCTTAACCCATAGCAAAACATGTCCACCAAGGGGTATGGCTTAATAGGGAGTTGACTGTATATGTCTCGGGTACGAGGATCATTCGGATGCTCTACGATTTTTCAACTCTACGAAACGACATGTAGTCATAAGTCGCGATTATTCACCAACGAAACTAGTTTTTAGATACAATTCCCCAGAAGCTCTCACCAAACCGCCTGATACTCTACCTCAAGCAGCTTCCACTCCGAACAAATTCACATCTGATCAAGCGGTTCTCAATGTCAGACCTCACAAGCTTGGTTCCTCACCACAAGCTGAAGTACAAGAAGATACTTTGGTTAATCGCACTCCAATGCAAATGGGTCCCTCCAGGCCTGATTCCCCTCATTTATCTTCACCTCCTTCTCTAGTATCACCACCTCGCAGGTCCCCATCTCCTACTTTGGCTACATCCCTATCAACCTCCAACGTTCGGCGTGATCGTATTTCAGAACTGGGACCGTCTACTAACCAAACAGGACCGATGAAATCTACATCTAATGCTCCGCATACTAAAGTGAAGGATCGATATGAAATGATTCCAGCCAATAAGCCTCCGGCTAAAGAAATAGTTGGCGATGTCGATGCACGTAATATTGTCACTGGATCTCGACGACGGGGCGGGGATAAATCTACTCAATTAAATATGGTGGCTCCAGCTGTTGAAGATCCTCCTGAAGAATTGCTATTGTTACACTTTGAAGTTCCTGACACCGTGTATTTAACCGAAACGGTCTTGATCAAGGAAGCACTCTCTAGTCGCGATGAACGCCTAGGTTGGAAGGAGGCGATGGCGAAAGAGTATAATTCACTGGCGTCGAAAAACACTGGTACCCTAGTTCCACCCCCGGGTGATGACAAGGTAATAGGAGGAATGTGGCTTCTTGGTCGTAAGAAGAACGAGTTTGGTGAACTACTTAGATTCAAGGCTAGGTGGGTGTGTTTTGGTAACCACCAAGTTCATATGATTCATTACTTTGATACCTATTCGTCGGTGGCACGAAATGAATCATTCAAACTCCTGCTTACGGTGGCGGTGAATCGCTCGTGGTATGTGTATCAATTCGACGTGGAGACAGCGTTCTTGTATGGTGAAATAGACGCTCCGGTCTACGTATCTCAAGTTGAGGGATTTGAGGAACCCGGCAAGGAGGATTGGGTTTGGAAATTAAATAAGTCTCTGTACGGAACGAACCAGGCACCCCGTCAATGGCGTAAACATCTGGTCGGGACGCTCACGTCACTTGGGCTGGAATCCTCGCCGTTGGACGAATCGCTGTTCTACGACAAAGATCGGTCGGTGTTCCTGCATATGCATGTAGATGATGGTTTTATAGTCGGCAAAGATAGAGATTCCGTTTTGAATTTACTGGACGATATCCGCAAGGTCTATACGATAAAGGTCAAGGAGAAGCCGTCGCAACACCTTGGTTATAC